TTATCATCATCGACCACGCAAACATAGTAGTATCGTGCTACAGTATTCATTCAACGTATACAACACATGCGCACACATATATCACACGTACACAACACATGAATAGATGCATGTATTGGAAATGTCCATCTCGCACGTTTTACAACAGACGGCGATAGTTGCCCTCCGCTATATTGACAGCGTGCGGGGTTAGATATTTTCAATTTCAATTTTTACATTCAATTTTAATGTTATTATTTGCAAATTATTGTCATAATAATTTATGTGCAAGTTTACAGTCTGTGATACAAAATCAGATATTTTGCTATTATTTCAATAATATTTCAATTATATAAATGCCTATGTATGAGTATGCATATATTTTAATAATTTTTAATTAGCTTCTATATTTTTTTCAGTTGTACATCAAGCAGGTAGCATTATCAGCTCACTTGTGAGCATGGGTTGGGCAATGGCTAGTTATCATCGCAGCATTCGATTAGCTTAACAACAAGATAAATCTAATATCAGTGCTATAGGAACTATTTTACAATTTTTCTGGCATTTTCTTATTGCAGGTACATATATATCAATAATTAATATACAAATTAAATATTATTCATCACACACTTTGTATCAAATAATATATTTTTTAAAATTTATTTAATCATTTTTATCATTGTGATTGTATAAGGTTTATAATTGTGATTGTAGATTGTAGATCATGATGACAAGATCTTATTGCTCAGTGTCATTGCAAGCATCTGGCCTGTATATACCATAATATATTGCGTAATACATTGGCTAAGTATGACAATATAGATTTTGATAGATTCCCATGGAATATTGGAATTTTGTCGGACTTACAGTCATCCACCACATATGCAGCCTACAATTAAAGAACGCATTTATTCCATATGATTTGCTTCCGTTATTGGAATATTTAAAATAAAAATTTTATTAATAAATTTCGATGAAATAATTTATAAGAGGTTGAAGAAACTATGAAACAAATTCAGTCTCATAAAAGGGGTAGTTGGAACAATAGTGGTGAATGCAGAAGGTATTACATGAGATCATTGACATGATTTACTTGTAGTTGTAAACAAAAATTATAAAATTATATCTGTTTTAGGTATTCCTATAAAGTCAACATTAGATAATACGACAACAGTTCAATACGCAGGTTTGATAAGTCAATTGTCAGATAAAGCTCGTTCTGTCGTACGTGACTTGAATCCAACAAATAATTTAACTTTCTTGCGCATACGTAGCAAAAAACATAAAATTATGATGGCACCAGATAAAGAATTCATATTAATAGTAGTACAAAATCCAGTTGATTGATATTTAAAAGAAACAAAAATATATTTCAAAGTTAAGATTTATTTCTTTGGTTGTTAATTTAATCTGTATGCTACATTGTGGATGTTAATATCTATTCAATTAAATACAGAAAAATAAAAGAATAAAGCTTAAAAATTATACAAAATGCAGTATTTAATTACTAATTTAACAAATTATGTACTTTTAGAGTTTTTAAATAGTAACTTTCTTCTTTGGTAACAATATTATATTTTAAGTTTGATAATTATGAAAATATGTATATATAGTAATTCATGGCATGTTTATTTTTGTATTTAATACAATTATAAATGTACATTTCTCATCAATAAAATATCACAGTATCTTTTTTATAATTTAATTTTAATATTGAGATTGTTTTTATTCAGTGGAAAAAAAATGTGTAGTTGGTCCCTATTAATTATACATACATATAAGAGTGTCGCACAAATAATTCTATGCAGTTTTTTTAAGATAATATAAAATACTTATAAATATAATCAATTAAAATACATATAATCAAAATTGTATGTATTAAAATTCAATAGCATATAAAAAAGATTTTTTGAAATTATATATATATAATAAAAATCCAACATTTTATATATATATATATATATATATATATATATAAATATAAATATATATTTATTTATTGTATATCATAAATATATATTTATTTATTTATATTTACCTATCTTTTTTTATATATATGGTAGAAATACAATGTGAGTTATTTTATTTTGCAAAATTTTTGAAAGTTAAACTATACAATGAAATTATTTCATATAATACCGAGATTCTTTTCATAATAAAGATTAAGAGAGAGTTAGATTTGATCATAAGATTTATAAAAGTCATAAGATAAGGTTAATTGCATATTGTATAATTTATCTCTCATTTTTTAAAGTAAATAAATATCAAAGTTACATTGCTTGAACTGGTGCGTTTGAAGTATGTTGTCTTTTTGAGGGATGTAAGACAATATAGTACAAAAGCATTGCTGTAATTCCCAAGAAAAAGGAAATGATACAAATAATAAAGATTATATCAAAGTACTAAGCCTCTTTAACTGCAGGAGGACAAGCATATTGCCATAATAAATTTGCTGCAATATTTTCAAAAAAGCAGATAACATAGAAAGATAGATGTTTTCAAAATGTTTTGCTATCTACAGCATTGAGATATATAAAAATGTGCACTATGCCAATAACGGAAGCAAATAATATGGAATAAATGCGTTCTTTAATTGTAGGCTGCATATGTGGTGGATGACTGCAAGTCCGACAAAATTCCAATATTCCATGGGAATCTATCAAAATCCATATTGTCATACTTAGCCAATGTATTACACAATATATTATGGTATATACAGGCCAGATGCTTGCAATGACACTGAGCAATAAAATCCTTGCCACTACAATCACAATGATAAAAATGATTAAATAAATTTAAAATAAATTTTTAAAAATATATTATTTTGATACAAATTGTGTGATGAATAATATTTAATTTTGTATATTAATTATTGGATATATATGTACCTAAAATAAGAAAATGCCAGAAAAATTGAATTTGCTTATTTATTTAAAGATGCTTATCATATACAAAAATGAATGATATAATCTCTAAAAACTCACCTTTAAAAAAAGGTAAAAAAAGGCGACCAGTTAAGGGCACACCATTAACAAAAATTATCCATTGCAAACCCATGTACAATAGAATTGTATGAAAAATTATCGATTATAAACCAATGTACAATCGTAACAAAAGTAATGAAATAAAAAAAAAATTGCGCCAAGTGAAAGTAGAAACTTGTACCAGTGGAAAATTAAAGTTGCAGACATATATAGAGTCGTATAATGAATCAATAAAAATTTAAATTTGCAAATGTAGAATTGTACCATAAAAAAACTTATCTTTTAAAAAAAAAGATAAACAAGATGCCAAGTCCATGCGCCATATGAAAAAGTGTTAAACAAAAAAAGTATTTTTAAGTAAAAAAATCTATCAATTGACAAAAATTTATGTTCTAAAATTAATATCTCTACAAAAAGTAATGTCCAATTATTGCGCGAATAAATAAACATTTTTATAAAAAATTAAAATTTAAAAACTTATGCAAATTTAAAATTAATATAAAATAAAAAGAAATAAAAAAATTTTAGTTAAAAAAACTGGGCGCGCTGCTAAATAATATTCTAATGATATTAAAATTAAATTGTTACTTTTAAAACTCATTGCAGCGCGCCCAGTTTTTTTAACTAAAATTTTTTATTTCTTTTTATTTTATATTAATTTTAAATTTGCATAAGTTTTTAAATTTTAATTTTTATAAAAATGTTTATTTATTCGCGCAATAATTGGACATTACTTTTTGTAGAGATATTAATTTTAGAACATAAATTTTTGTCAATTGATAGATTTTTTACTTAAAAATACTTTTTGTTTAACACTTTTCACATGGCGCATGGACTTGGCATCTTGTTTATCTTTTTTTTCAAAAGATAAGTTTTTTTTATGGTACAATTCTACATTTGCAAATTTAAATTTTTATTGATTCATTATACGACTCTATATATGTCTGCAACTTTAATTTTCCACTGGTACAAGTTTCTACTTTCACTTGGCGCAATTTTTTTTTATTTCATTACTTTTGTTACGATTGTACATTGGTTTATAATCGATAATTTTTCATACAATTCTATTGTACATGGGTTTGCAATGGATAATTTTTGTTAATGGTGTGCCCTTAACTGGTCGCCTTTTTTTACCTTTTTTTAAAGGTGAGTTTTTAGAGATTATATAAAAGTACCGGAACAGCAGAATAACTCGAAAAATATGAGTCCTACAAAAAATGTTAAGTACTGGGTTTTTATGATTTTTTCCTGGCCATTTGAACATCAGATAGCCAGGAAAAAATCATAAAAACCCAGTACTTAACATTTTTTGGACTCATATTTTTCGAGTTATTCTGCTGTTCCGGTACTTTTATAACACCCTGTATACACTTAAATTTGTGTGTACATCTAATATATTGAGCATTTGTTTATTAAATGTGTTTCAAATATGTGGAAGAATAATAAAATTACAAAATTGAACTTTAATGCAATTAAATGTTAAAATGTTTAATAAAATTACAATTATGCCAGATATTAAATAAAATTTTAATATTAAATCTTTTAAACTTGCATCATATATTCATACTAAATTCACTTAATGTAACAGATATAAGATGTAATTTTTTAATATACTTTGGTCTAAACTTTGGTAACTATACACCACCGTGATTTCATGATCTTTCTGACAATATACGAAAGACAAAATATATAAGGTTGAATTGATTATTTAGATATAATATATATCCTGTTTCTTAATGTTTATATCCATTTGGATTATTTTGTTGCCATTTCCATGTATCTAAACCTGAAAAAAATATCAATATACTTTTAATTTTAGAACATTATAATGAATATTTCATGAAATTGCATAAAAACGGTTCCACATAACTGTTATGACTGCTATTAATTTTATTATACTAATTTATGTCTTACACATGTCATCCATATTTTTGTAGCAATCCAATCCAGTTCTTTGTTAGCGATACTAGCATCCGCATAACTAACAGCAATGTCACCTGGTCTACGTTCAACTATTTTGTATGAGATTTTTTTTCCAGATGCTTTCTCAAATGCATGTATAACTTCAAGCACAGAATAGCCTTTTCCAGTGCCAAGATTTATCGCCTTAAATCCTCTCAGATTATGAGTTTTTTGATAAATTATGGCTTTCACATGTCCTACTGCTAAGTCCATAATATGAATATAGTCACGCATACCTGCCAACATAATTAGAAAAAAAATTTATTATAATTGTCTTTAAACTTGTCTTTTTTTTAAGTATATTTCTTTCTTTCTATATATATATATATATATATATATATATCCTCTTTAGTATGTAATTTATAACTAGCAGTTCTAAAAACAGTTGTTTTCTTTACACCACTTAATTTCCCTCATTATTTTGAGTATAAAAGTATTGAGATAAGATCATCAGAAAATAAATATTTGTTAAAATATTTTATTTATGAAAGATTATGTGAAATTAAAGTACAAAATATCTCGTACATTAGTCATTTTTTTATCATCATATTCTTATAATTTTTTGTACAGAACATTGTAAAGAATCGATTTATATATAAAAAATATAGTAGTTAGAATTATTTAAAAATTCGAGATGATCTTATCCTAATCTTGGCAACACTATTCAAGGTTAAAATGATAAGATCTGTTACATATTTTTAAACCCTACAATTTTTTTAAACAGTTTTGTCTAAAATTGGTTATAAGATATTTGACCGTTTCCAGACTTTCAAAACACTCTGTACATATATTAAGATTTATTTTTAATTAAATTTTTCCGCAAACAGAAATATATGGAATTTTTACCTGTGCCATCAGGTGTATCATAGTCATTACCATAAACAAATAATGTATCCCTTTTTCCAACAGAGACTTGTGCAATATAAGGCATTAAATTATTTGGTACACCATTAGGATCTTCTCCAATTTGACCTGAAGGATGTGCACCAACAGGATTAAAATATCTCAGAGATATAACAGAAAATTCCTGTAAATAATACTTTCTATTTAAATAGATTATACATATTATTCTGTTGTAATATACATACTTTTATACGTATATGTATACGTTGTATATATATATATATACATTGTAATATATATACTGTTGTAATATATATACTTTGTAAAATACATATATACCTTATCTGATATACACAAATCCTTTAATATTTCTTCTACCATAAACTTTGTCTGCCCATAAGGATTCGTGCAATTACCAGTTTTCATATCTTCCATTAAAGGAAGTTGCTGAGGTACACCATAAACTGTAGCACTGCTTGAATAAATAAAATGTTTTACATTGTTCTCTCGCATAACTTCTAATAAATTTATTGTTCCACTGACGTTAATCTTATAGTACTCAAGTGGTTTCTGACATGATTCACTAACTGCTTTTAATGCAGCAAAGTGTATAACACTATGAAAAGTATACTGCAATGAATATTTTTAGTTTAAATCACATATACTATCAACAAACATAATATCAGTTATACGCCGATAAATATATACTTTACCTTCTGAAATACATTTCTTAAATCATTAATATTCATAATGTCACATATGATAAATGTAATATTTTTATTTGTCAATTTTTCTATTCTAAGGAGGCATTCTGGTTTCTCAAAATTCGAGTCTGTGAATGAGAAAGAAATAACTTAATAAATCTGTAAAATTTTTATATGCAGAAATATATTATGTGATATATACATAAAAAACAGTGTTAAATTAAATTAAAATAGGTAATTGTTAAAAATTGTTTAACTTCTAGATATTTTAGTACATTCTTGATAGAAAATATGTTAAAATTCAATGTAAAAAATACTTTTAATATATGCTATTATTTATATATTATCTAAATTGATAAATTGAAATATATACACTATATCACTATTTTATCAAATGACTTCTTATACTTCACCTTTATGTGCATTGCTAAGGTTATCAATTACTACCACCTGAATGTCTGCATTTAATAATTCCAAGACTGTATGAGAACCGATATACCCAGCACCTCCCGTTACCAGAACATTCCAAGATTTGCTTGCCATTATTTATTGCAAAATGCTGTTTGTTTGTTAACATAATATATATATATATATATATATATATATATATATATATATGTATGTATGTATGTATGTATGTATGTATGTATGTATGTATGTATGTATGTATGTATGTATGTGTGTATATATATATATATATTTATATTTTTATATATTTTGTGTTCTTATATAACTTTACAACTTTAAGTATTTATTTCAAAAAGTTAAAAAAAAAAAAATTTAATGTACAATATTATCAAATTGTATCGCAATAAGCTATAATATAATAAAAATAAATTTACTGTTACAAAATGCAATATATATATATATATATATATATATATATATATGTATGTAATAATTTACAGTAATAATTTTTATATTATAATTATACATCTCTAAGAGAGTTAGATGAAAAAGATGTATATGTACAATATATTTACAGAATATATATAGTTGTACACACAAGCTGTTAAAATTGTTCCGTGCCAGTTGAGTTTTAGAAAAATCAGTAGCAGTGCAGTTTAATCGATACATCTTATTCTGTGATAACCATACATACTGACCTTATCGCGACACAAGGACAGATGACGCAATCATGATGAAGTTACATAACATTGACACATCATCGTTCATCACTGATGAAAAGTGACCTAACGAATTCAATCGAAAGGATTCCGAGGCGTGTACATCCGATAATTTTGTTCAATTTCCATCATTTACGTCTCCTTCATCATCTACAAAACATACCGCAATTTATATAACAATAACGACGCTGTGACGATATCCAGATACATTTTAAATAAAAAAAATTGATATTTTCTCTATATGTTGACAAAAACTTCAATCAAGCATATTAATTTAATCATTGATATTAATTTACAAAATAATCAATAACAGAATTTTAAATTTGATTAACGTCAAAATTTCTATTTGTATAATGTACACACACACACACACACACACACACACACACACACACACACACACACACACACACACACACACACACACAACACACACACACACACACACACACACACACACACACACACACACACACACACACACACACACACACACACACACACACACACACACACACACACACACACACACTATACAATTACATATATTACACACACACACACACACATAAAATTTCTAATTGTATAATGTGTGTATATATATATATATATATTATATACAATTAGAAGTTTTATATATATGTGTGTGTATGTGTATAATATATATATATATATATATATATATATATATATATTATACAATTAGAAATTATGACGATTAGTCGTTGATAATAAATAATAAATTAAATGAAATTTGTGATCGAATAAGTGACTTTCTGATTCTTTCTTCGTCAATTACATAGATTACATATAAAATTCATGGAACCTTTTCTGAGATGAAGGGAAGATTTGTAGTAAGAATACCAGTCGATTAAAACAATTTCGATACGCATAGGATATATTGAGCTCTACAACTCTACAGTCTATCAATATCGGAGCATGGAAGAATACAAGAATTTTGCTGTATATACTACCTGATACTACTCTTTTCCTTAAAAAGAGCATGTTAAGTCGATTACTCGAATATATCGAAATGTTGAAGCCTCTTTATTTGCGATCTGATTGAATGCTGGCGCGTTGCGATATATTCGTGGTTAGGATAGGTGCGTAGAGTTCGAGCGCCTCAAGCGGGGAGCACACACTCTTGTATAAGCGCATAAGCATATGCATAAGAAATTCGATTGGTTGAATTTCTTATTCATACGTTTATAGACCAATCAAGATTTATTATGCTTACGGTTGTGCGCCTATGCAAAAGTGTGTACTCCCCGCTTATGTCTATGGTGTTAAGTAGATTCGTGTGTGAAGGCCTATCTGCCATGTTTTTGGATGGGCCAGTAGCGTATCAACTATTAAAGTGCCTCAGATTTTATTGTATCTATAGTTTAAGCACAAATGAGAAATATTCCGATTATTACTTATTGTTAAAAATTTTATATTTATAAAATAATGTAAAAAGAATATAATTTTTGTAAACATACATTTATTGCACATATCTTCTGTAGTTGAGCTGTGGCGTTTATAATACACCACAATATTACCGTTCTTGAGCATTGAGCATCATACTGATCTTGCATCTGATTGGTTTCATCTAAGAACATGGCGATGCACAGTACGAATTGAGCCAAATCAGAAAAAGAATGGAGTACACATATTGATTTTATTGTGTTATAATTATGCATACGATAAATAATTTTTAATAAATAATTTTTTAATTTTTTATTTATTTTACCTTTTCTATCTTTAAATTATATGTATAATTTTATATAAAATTTTAAAAAATTATATAAAATTTTTAATCAACAAATATAATAACTAGATATATATAATATACATTAACAATATTTTATTGAATTAATTTTCAATTTTAAATATATATATAATGTATGTAATATATTTTAAATATAAAATATATTAAAATATATATATATATATATATATATATATATTTGGATATAATAACATACACTAACCTTTGGAATCTCCACATTTACTCTTGCCATCGTTTCAATTTATTTTGAAACGATGGCAGGAGTAAATGTGGAGATTCCAAAGGTTAGTGTATGTTATTATATCCAAATATAATATAAGTTTAATATAAAAAAATATTAAGAAAGCAATCGCGAAGGTAATATATATGATTGTGCATAATTCAAGATTGGAGGTTAAGTGTATGTTTTGGTCGTTTCGGAAGAGAAAAACGTACCGTAACATGTGCGTACGAATCTATTTCAATTCTTATAAACATTTATGACTTGGAACCGAACTTTAGAATGACACATCGGGTGATATAATTGATTTTTTTTTATGGCAGAAAGTATACACATGCGGATTATGCGAAATAATTCTTGGGGACCTTGAGGATGAAGAAACATGGTCCCATGAATGTTTTGCAAATTATTCAGAGATTGTTTTTGATGTGAATAGCTTGTATTTATATCCCAAATGTGGTAAGTAAAATATAAAAGGTGAAAGTGATCGATATAATACTATTTGAGCGAATGTAAAAATTTAAATATTTTGTAGAAGATAGAAGCATTGTGCGCCGAAGTGCGATTAATGGAGCAGAGCAGATTGTAATAGAATCGCCTCTTCCGACACAAGAGCCGTGCCCAGTGGAAAACCTGGAAGAACTTATCATTACAGAAGTGTTGGCACGAGAACTGTTATGGAATCAAAAACTGAGTATAACAAAACGTGACAGGCAAACTGTACAACAACTTTGGAAGCAAGTGGCTAATGCGACGAATGGTACGTATATATTTGTGTGTGTATGTGAGAGAGAGAGAGAGAGAGAAAGAGAGTAGTTAAAGAAAACTCAATAGAATTAAAGTGATATAACAGTACGATTTTATTATTACAGGCGAATGTTCTGTCGATGAGGTAAAAAAAAAATGGAAGAACTTAAGGGATCGTTACATGAAAATAATCTCTCTTGAAAAGTTGCCAAGTGGATCAGGAAGTAAACCATCTCGCAGAAAGTGGCAACATTACGAATTGTTGTCTTTCTTACGTGACACTTCTTTGGAAAAAGAGTTAGTATTTCACAAAAGCATTCACTGCAATACTAAAAACAGTTAATATTGATATTATTTCATTTTATTGTATTTCAGGACAGTTTCAAATATGATGAGTCGTGAGGAAGACACTAGCAATGATGACACGGAAATCCAAAGTGTGGACGTCGTAGAAGTCAACGGTGCGATTGATGCATCAAAAAGTATTTCGTTCATAAGCTGTACGAGCAAGTAAATAAATTTAAAAACAGAAAGAGAATAATAAGAAGAATATGCAATAATAAAATAAAACTTTTGCAGAGTCTACAATGTAGTCGTTATGACAATACGACGCTGCAACGGACCAATCAGAGAAAAAAAATCATATATTCTCTTCTTTGATTGATCCGTCACAGCGTCGTAACATTGTAACGACTGCATCGTAGACCCCGCATTATATTCAAAATTCCACATTAATTATCAACCGACACACATATATATATATTGTAGGAAAATTGTACAAATTGAATATCTCACTTGTTAGTACTATTACAGCTAGCTACATCAAATTTTGTCCAATAATACAAAATGTATTATTATGTAAAAGTCATTCTTTCATTTTCAGGAATGAAAAGAAAACGAAAAAGTACTGAGCGCGAAGAAGACTTGATGAAGCAGATAGCAGAGGCCTTGCAGACTCCACGACCACCTTTGCCAACTCCTCCTGTTCTTGACGAAGTTGACAATTTTACTTCGATGATTGCCTGCCAGCTACGAGAGTTGTCATCAGTCCGCAGACGCGCAATAATGTTGAAAATTCACGAGCTCTTACGTGCTGAATTATTGCGTAACGACAATTCGGCACAACAATAATATAACGTAAAATATAATAATATGAATAATATATGTATAGTAATAAAACGAGACTGATTTTGTTAGTGCAATAAAGCCGAAGCGTATTTATTCAAATAGTTATTACTCAACTGGACCGGGATACCAAGAAACATTAAAGTTATGATTATCTGGGAAAGTAGGAAAAGAAGTTTTAAAGAATTAGTTTGCATGATTAAAAGGTGTGATTTATTTCCTTTGCATGTGTAGTATACAAATAATGATTATATCTGTGATGTCTAGTATAATATTATAAATAAAACGAAATAATATGCTAATGTATCATTTATCATTTTGCCATGCTACTGAGCCTTCATTATTAAAATATTTACAAAATTCATCTTAATGAGCATGGCACCCCGAGTACTTGTATTTGTACTACATTTGGAGATGTCCACAAATGCACAACCATCTTCCATAATCGTCCTCCACGAACCTCGTATGTGATCACCCACAGCCGTTTCTTTATCCAACATACCTGGTGGAATATAATTGTTCTTCTCGATATCACTCTTGCGGAGCCAGTTATGAATGCAGATTGTACCTTGTACGATCTTCATAGCAGTTTCCACACTACTAATGATCGGTTTTCGATAAACTCGCCATTGGCTAGCAAGTATTCCGAAAACAATTCTCTATCACTCGTCTGGCTCTACTGAGTCTATAATTGAAGATGTGCTGTTCGGCGGACAAGTTATTTTTGCCAGAGTATGGCCTTAGCAAATATGATTTCAATGGAAAGGCTTCATCCCCGACAATGCAGTAAGGCAAAGACGGGCCTCCTTTGTAAAAACTGTCCGATTTTGGGATATTCATTTGACCTGCATTAAGTTGTTGACCGAATCGGCTTTCACGAAAAATGCCTCCATCACTTCGCCTGCCATACGCACCAATATCGACGAACCGGAAAATATAATTGGCATCACAAATAGCTAATAGCACAATGCTATGACTGTTTTTATAGTTGTAGAAATTGGAGCCAGCATTATCCGGACACTGAAATTACACAAAGATTATTATATATTTTCACATACTGCAAGAAAATTGGAGTCTGCTCGTATTGTTTTTCTATTTATTTCCCGATAGTTTTTAATATTTGAATAATGCCTGAAAAGAATTATAATACAAGTATTACTTACTTGAATGGTTACATGCTTTCCATCGATTGCTCCAATGCAATGTGGAAAGTCCCATATATCTTCAAAATCTTCTGCGATGCTCCGCCAGTCATCTTCGAATAACTGAGGTGGAAGAACCAAAGGACACAAATGTTCCCAAATAATCTTGCATGTTGTAGCAATAATATTGCTTACAGTCGTCAAGCCTACTAAATATTGATATGTCATTGAAGACATGGAATCACCAGCTGCCAGAAATCTGAAACGTAATGCAAATTGATGTAATGCAACATTTACATTCATATAACTAAAATAAAAACAAAAGATGTTTACCGTAATGTCAACGTCAATCGTTCTGCTGCACTTATCAGCTCTCGCACGACGTATTGTTTCTCTAGATGCGGGCCTACAATGGCTAACAACTCTTCGTATTGCGTGGTTGACATCCGAAAATAATTATGGAACCGCAGATCTTCCAATTTAAGTGTTGGCAGCAAGGCATGGTAAAAACCATGCTCACAGCGTTTTTTAAAAATTGGAGCAACCCAGAAACGCTTCTTTTTGTTGATCCGTCTGTTTTTTGCAGCTAATAACATAGCTAATGATCCGAGCAACTTGTCACGTCGGTCTGCTTCTACATTCTGTTCCTGACTGCACTGCATTGACCACTCATAAATTTTCATTTTTGCAGACATGATATATTGATTATTTAAACTGATAACTGAGATACTGAGGAATTGAGGTTATATTGTTTCGCGACAAACGCGATGACGCCGAATTCGCGCGGCAGACGCGGCAAGCGGCATCAGTTTCAGAAGCCCCTAGATCTAGTTCTTTCTGAACTGCCGCGCGCGGCAACTTGCCGCGTCCATCAGGGGATCGATTGTCTATTTGTGTCGATTTTTCTCACTTTTCGCACATTCATTTCACGTGAAGAAATACACGCGATTGGCTATGAGCAGATGATGAAATACGATATCTCTAGATTCACGGGAGCACAAACCATAGTGAAATATCCGTAAAGTGTATATGCATGCATATATGTTTCAGTGATACCTTTATCTTTATAACCTCTGCAGTTTGAACGGTGTGAATAAGAATGAATGTTACAGAGAAACAAAAAAA